CCCCCCCCCCATTTTGGGTAAGCAATGTCCAAGTTGCCCATCCTTGTCTACTCTAGTGTATGGAGGGTGAGTGGGAATGATCCTGTAAAGATTTGTTCTCTTTTTTGAGCTACTGCATATATAGGTGTAGGTCAAGTTCATTAAATTGTATCAGATTACTCTTTTTTTCCTCTTTATTCTTCTACTTGAGTTTTGATCATTCAGCCATTGAAGCCAGTGGGTATTATCTGCAAGTGTGGGTGTTCTTATACATATGTCCTCTCTTCTTATCAGCTGGGCGCTTCACTCTCCACTCTAGTGCTCTGTGGCTATGTCACTGACTCTGGGCCCAAGAGTTCCCAGATTTTGCCACACTGCTGGCCAATCAGGTCTCTAACCAGGTTCACAAGAGTCTATTGAACATTGTAGGGCTTAGCTCACAGCTTCATTGAAAATTTAGGTTATTCTTTATCTGACAATATCACTATTATGACTTCATTTTGAAGGATAGTTTTGTTGCTTTCTTGGTTGATAGCTTTTTTTGTTTTGATACTTTGAATATGTTATTTCACTGTCTTCTCACCTCTAATTAGAATAATGGATAATTGATTAATTATATGAGTCATTTTCCTCGTTACTTTTATGAATTTTTCCTTGTGTTTCACTTTGATATGTCTAGGTGTGGGTCTCTGTATTTCTCCTACTTTAGGTTCTTTGAGCTACCTGAATTTTGTACTTTACTTTTTATGTTTAAATGAAATTTAGGAAAATATGGCAGTGTTTTCAAACATTTTTTTCCCAACTCTTCTGTTTCTTCCCTCTTTCTGGGACTCCGGAAATATTGGCAAGTTGGATATTGTTACAAAGGTCTTTGTGGCACTGTAAATTTTCCCTTTTTTATATACTTTTTAAAAATCTTTTTATTGTGAATTGAGTGAAGGTTTACAGAACAGATCATCAGTTTTATATTCAAGAAATCAAAATCATTGTTTCATTACATGGTTGCAGTCCCCTCCCTATACCAACAGTTAACAGCATTTACTTGTATTCACTTTAATTATTGTGTTCTCAGTGTGTCTCATGCTACCTTCATCTTTCCTCTGCTAACCTCCTCTTGTTGTTTATTGCCTGCCCTGTCAGCCATGAATCATTTTCCCTTTCCTTCCCTTCCCTCACCCCCACCTCACCCTTTTAATTATAATATATTGTTTCTTTTATCAAGAAAATATATTTTTTTTCTTTTAAGTTTTTACAACATCAGTTTCATAAAACTTTTGTCCTTTTGTGATTGTTTCAGCATGATGTCCTCCAGGTTCAGCCATATTATGAGGTTTGTCCCAAATTCATCATTATTATTCTACATTTTGTAGTATTCTGTTGTGCATATGTACCAAGTTTGTTTCAGCATTCTTATGTTGTGAGCATTTAGGCTGTCTCCATGTTTTTGGTATGTCTCTTGTAGACAGCATATTGAAGTAACTTGTTTTCTTATCTGTTCTGCTCATTATGTTTTTTGTCTGGTACATTTAATTCATTTACATGCATTGTAATTATCTATAAGTATGAATTGATTGTTGTCATTTTTCTGTGTTGTGTTTGTAAAACCAAACTACGGTGTTGGACCCTGAGTGGAGACATCTCTGGTGGCCTGTTGCAGTTCAAGGAGCTTTACGAGGTGGTTGTAGAAGGGATTTGGCGGCAGAATTCCTGGCCCTAGATGGAATTGCTATTGGTTTTGGTGTTATCTATGTTCAGGGCACTCATTTGAGAAGTAGTTGTTGGGTGTCCTTGATGGAGTGGTTTCGATGTTTATTAGGCCCACAGGGTGGCTGGGGGCAGTATGACTGGTTAAATGTTGGTCTAGTTGCTCTGCAAGTTTTGCAGGTCTGGAGTTGAGCCCACCTGAATCCAGGCACCTAAGTAGCACACCATAGTGGTGCATCCAGCCTCTATCTCACACGGCTTGGCTTCCAACCATGTGGCTCAGGACTCCTAGAGAGCAGGGTCTACACTGGGAGTGGATGAGGGTGGGAGCTGACCACCCTTCTGATCATCCAGGGCAATGTAGGGAAAAAGAAGAAATCTTGCATTGCCCATGTGAATCTGCTTTGTCAGGCCTTCTTCTACTGCCAAAGCTACTCACAAGATTGTCAAGCCACATCTGGCCAGCCTTTCACCAGTTGACCTCCCTCTCTTGTCATACCTGCTTGTCGTCTTCTCCACCAGTGTAACCTTTCTTGTGAAGTTCAGCTTGCCAGAATTTTCCTGTGTCTGTTTTGTCTCTTGTGTGTTTGTTGTAGAGGGTCCATATAGTGTGTCTGCCTTGCCCTCCCTCTTGATGGAAGTCAAATTTTCTTTCTTAATTTCATATATTCCTTTTTATAATATTTTGGATTTGCTATTCAGTCCATCTAGTAAATTTTTTATTTCACTTTACTCTCCTATTTCAGGCAATGAAAACAAAATTTTCATTTATTTTTAAAATTGATTCCTGTACCCTTATTGAAAACTCTTTGGTGATTTGTTTTCATAATTTCTTTGAATTTGGAAGTTTAGTTTCCTTTATTTCTTTTAAATCTTTGTTTGCTTAGGCTAGCATCTATGGGCACTTAAAACAGTTAGTATTGACTGATATTTTCTAGTAATCTTTTTCACACTTTCCTGTTTCTTTGTATATTTCTTAATTTGTTACTAAAAACGGAGCATTTTAGATAATGTATTCTAACAACTCAGATTGTGATTTTCACACGGTCCTGTTGTCATTTCATTATTTTTTATGTATTTGGTGCAATCCTGTTGGGAAAGAAGTAACATTTTGTTTTGTATGAAAGCTTATTTGTCCCCCCCATCCAAAAAAAAAAAAAAAA